CGCCCTCCATCACTCCCACACCTGGCCTGCTGCTGGGGGGGCCGTGGCGGCGCGCCGAGTGAATCGCACCATCATCATTGGGGGGGCTGCAGGAACGGCTCTCATCTCTCGTCGCCCCGCCCTCTGAAGTGTGGCGCCGCTGCTCCATCTTCTGTCTGTGTGCGATGGCCGCCTGTTTGGCCTCCTCGTAGCCGAGCTGCTTGACGGAGAAGGACTTGGTCTTCTTCCTGCCGCCCTTACGCCATTCGGCCACCCAGCTCTTGTTTGGTCCGTTGTAGCTGACGCCGCTGACGCCGCTCTGGTGCTTCGAACGCTTCTTCACAACTGCCAATCGCTCCATCTCCCGTCTGTGCGCGATGGCGGCGTCTTTGGCCTCCTCAAATCCAAGCTCCTTGACGCAGAAGGACTTGCGCTTCCTTCTCCTGCCCTCATGCCAGGTGGCAATCCAGTAGCCGCCGTTCTTGTTGTCGAAGGACACGCCCCGCACGCCGCTCTGGCTGGCTGACATGAGACCTGAGAAGGCAACGCAGGGCGGATACGATGAGTGTGTGTCGATCGACGATTCGGCTGATATGGTTGTCACCTGCAGGTACGTACCTTTGTCGTCGGGTGGCTCATCGAGAGGTGGGTCGGCTGACCCACTGCCACCACCACCACCAGCAGCAGCGAGGGTCACGGACGAGGGACCGGGGGCACCGGCGGGCGGTGAATCATTGACGGGGGAAGGGACGCCAATCAACCCTGCACACATGGAAAGACGAACACACACACAACGATGCGCATCAAAGTCCCCCAGTCTCCCTTGTTTCCCCTCTCCAGTCTCTTACCTGCAGCAGGTTGTTTCCACTGTGTGACGGTCCGCTCGACGCCATCGATGACATCCGACACACTCTCGAAGCGATCGTCACTGTCTGCCGTGCCGTTGTGGACGGCCACCAGCAGGTCGCTGAGCATGCTCATGTCCCAACCCCTCCCTATGTGGTCACGAGTGACGTCAGCCCGCACGCACACCGGCGGCCGGTCGGTCCCTCCCCCCTCCCCGCGCCAGGCTGTCACCATAAAGCGTTTTCCGTCCCCCTCGTCGGCCACTCTGAACGCAAAAGCCTCGTACTCAGGCTGGTGCTCGAGGTGGCCAGGGGTGCACTTCTTGCGCAGCACTCCCAGAAGAAGCTTCGGTTGGCGGCTTGATGTCCGCTGTCTGTTGCCGGCAGGTGGCGGAGTCCCCTCGCGTGACGGTGTGCTGCCGTGTGGTGCTCCTGGTGCTGGTGGATCTGGGTGCTGTGCGGCGGGGGCGCCTGTCGTGATCTGCGTTGGCCCTTGCTCAGGCACCCGCTCGGCCCGGTCGGGTTGGTGTGAGTCATCGACGACCGTCTCCCAGCCGGGCAGCAGCTGGTATTGGTGGGCCTCGCCCTTCGGGCCCCAGATGTCACGCACAAACTGATGGACGCACACACACATCCACAGAGACAGACATTCACATTGGCGGGGGGAATGGGGGGACGTGTGTGTGTGTACGCCTACCTGTTCGCGGTCTTCGCAGGCGGCCTTGAAGGCGGATCTGACTGACTGGAACTGATCGAAGTTGCGAGTGGGTCCCCAGAGGGCGCCGACGCTTGGGTGGTAGAGCTGGGCGCGGACGCCCTTGCCCTTCACTATCTGCAGGCCCAGGGGTGCCGGCCTGCCGTTGGGCTTCTTGGGCAGATACTCCTTCGGTGACCTACCCACACACAGACGAAATTGGCCTGTTGTGTGTAGGCAGGTACTCTCTCTCCCCCTTCCTCTCCCTCTCCCTGACTCACGTGTTTGCCCTCCTCCTTGGGCGACATGTGGGTGTCTGGGTTGAGGGCCTGGTGGTCCTCCGCAGCACCGCCACGACTACCAGCCTGACCCCTCGCCTCATGCCCCGCCGCAGCCAAGTCGTGGTCGTGCTCGGGCGTGTACTCATCCTGTTCCTGAGCCTCTACCTCTCCCGCCGACCGCCGGCCGCGGCCCCGACCGGTCCTCTGCCGCTTGCCACCGCGGTTGAGTAGCAGGTCATGGCCGGCAGGAGGGGGCTGATCACCCTGCTGCCACTGTGGGTGTGGGTGTGGGTGTGGGTGTGCGGGGATGGGGTTGACGACGGCCGCCAGCAATGCAGACAGGCCAGTAGTCGATGAGGCCGGCTGCGTTGCTGCCATGTCACCTGCTCCGAGATCGGTTTGGATCACCGCTGCACCCCTGGCTGATGCACGACACTGAGGGCCCGAATGAGCCGGCGGAGTAGGGACAGATGAATGGCCTCCCTGGCGCGCTTCTGTTGATGGAGCGGCCGCCTCGCCCGCCTGCATAGCTGGAGCCCGAGAGCCCTCCTCGGCTGCTGATGGTGAGGCGCCAGGGGGATGGATCTGCTCACTCGCCATCGTCGCTTCTGCTGCTGCCGTCACGTCGGCTTGCTCATGGGCTCTCCCTGGCGGCTGTCAGACGCACAGATGACGTGCGATGACGTGGATGAAGCGTTAGACGCTGACCATGACACAGCACCGGACAGCAAAATCGCCAGATCTCGGCTCAATGAAGGGAGGCCGCTGACATGGTAGTCAATTCCACTCGAACACGTGGTATTCCTGTGAATCCTCACTGCGAGCTTGTGATGGCGAGCAGAAAGATCTGCTCATGATTCACACGTGCAGAAGGCCGCCTTCAGCAGGAGGGCTCGTGCAGAGAGGTCTGCCGTGGCAAAACAGCCCTCTTTCAGCTCCAGTAATGATGACGGCGATGGACGAGAGGCGGCAGAGTGTCCAGGGGCGCTCACTGCTGACAGCCAAGGGCCACAACCCCGCCATCCCCTCACGTGGTAGGCGTCGACACTCGTGGGCAGACAGATCACAGCCAAGCTCATCTGATTCATGAATCAATCTCATGGAAGGATGTGTGTGAGTGTGTGTCTGATTTGTTTGTCATGCAGAAGCGCATCTACCAGATGGACGGCACGGCGCTGCGTCGTTCGATCCAGGAGACCACTCGGCGTCACTACCGCCACCGGGAGGTGTGGGAGGCTTACATGTACCGGGCGGCGGTGCTGCGGTCGCAGATGAAGGTGGCCGACGCCACACTGATCATCCACTGCTTCGCCACCGTGGGCAAAAGGGTCGACTCATTCCTCGACTACATGCTCGACGTGGACAGCCACACACATACAAACACACCGCTACAAAGGAGAATCTGTCTGTGTCTGTCTGGTGTGGTTGGACTGTGCAGGGCCTGCGAGGGCGGCTGCACAATTTCCGGCTGGGCCACCTGGCGCTGCTGTTGGTGAGTGTGTGCAAGCTGAGGAGAGAGGACAAGTTCCTCGTCGAAGCCGCCCTGCCGGTCATCTACAAGAAACTGACGGCACAAGCGCCGCCGAAGGTGAGATGGCAAGAAGGAGGATCCTGTCGTCACTTTTTCCTTATGCCTGCCTGCCTGTCTGCCTGTCTGTCCTTGACGCACAGGACATAGCGGTCCTCGCCCATGCGTACGTGCGGATCGACGGGCCGAGCCGACAAGCGGTGCTCGACAGGGTGGCTGCAGCTATCGCCCCACGGATAAGGAAGCTCGAGAACCCCTTGACCCTAAGCCTGCTGCTCCATGCCTTCACCTTCCCCCCACCACACATGGTGCCCTTCACCAAGAGAGCCTCATTCCTCCCCAGCAACAAGAGAGACGACAGCGGCGGTGCGCCGGCCGGCCCCTCAGCTACAGAGGCAGAGACTCCGGAGGCGGCCGTCTTGCGCGACGCTGCATCAGCATCAGAGCCCATCCGGTTCGCCAAGGGCGGTTCTGACGAGAGTGAGGCTGGCGATGGTCTGCCGCACCGAGCGCTCATCCAGTTGCTGCTGGACCAGGCGTCCAAGCACCTGCACAAGTTCCGGTCCACCGACCTGATGTTCCTCTTCCTCTCCATGCAGCAGATCTTCCGACGCGACAAACCACCGCCACCACCAGCAGCAGCAGCAGCCGAGGGGGCGGAGGACCACCCCCAGCCTGGTGAGGAGGAGTGGGAGGAGGCCGCTGATGACGACGAGCGGAGAGCCCTGAGGAAGGTCTATGGCCGGCATTTGGGCAAGAAGAAGAAACCGTCGCCCCTAGACACCGGCACCGGGATGGTCCCCTTCCTGCTGCTGCGGCAGGTGACGCGTCAACTGCAGAACGTGCTGTTCGAGCTGCGCGGCCCTGAGTTCATCAAGCTGCTCAGCACCTTCCCAGACATCCCACCCACGGCCATCGACAGTGCCGTTAAGGCCAGAGTGCTGGAGGAGCTCAGATACCGGGTGGCCGATTTGGTGGGGCAGCAATCGTATGGTGGGAGGGATGTGTGCATAGATGTGTGTGAATATGGATGCATGGGATGGGATGGGATGCCACTTGTACAGACATACGTGGACGCATGAGTGACTCCTTCAACATTAATCTCGTGATCACATTCGCATCAAGTCGCAGTGAGGTTTACAACGAAGGAAAAGGCATGCACACGCACACGCTCACGCAAATGAACGCACTGCAATGCCATGCAATGCCATGCGATGGACTAAGCATAATCTAAGCACATTTCGCCCGACTGACCGACACACACACACACACACACACAGACAGACAGAGAGACCCTGTAGCACAGTGGATCAATGAATGTGTGATTGCACCGCACATTCGCTAACTCATCATCTCATCATACCGGAGCACTGAAAAAGAGGCGGCAAAAAGCCCTATCTATCTATCTATATCTCCAATCCATCAACCAACCAACCAATGGACTCACTCACGTCGACACGCCCTACCCCTCTGTCTCACCTCCCTCAATACGCACATCCATCCATCCATCCATCCACCAACCAACCCGGCCACCCCACCCCGTCCACCACTCACCCTCAGTCACGTCTCGGCAGCAGCCTGCCCCTCCCCCTTCATCCATGCCACCAACACCACAATCATCGCCCTGGTGTCCAAGCTTACCATCTGATCCCCATCGCCCAGCTGAATGCGATCAGACCTGTCCCTCAGCCGATTGGTCATATCCACCTTGAACGGCAGGAAGGTAGCGATGGTGTTGCGCACATACACGGCCAGGTGCAGCTTCTCGATGGATGCGGGGCTGAAGCGGTGCACCAGCTCGCCCGCGCCTTGTGCGACGCCGAAGAACCGCTCGAGCAGTGGGTGAGGGAGGGGGAATCTGAGTGTGATGGCCTGTGGCTGGCCGGTCTTCTTGTCGTGGTCGATGGAGATGTATGTGTCCTGGTCGTCCTCGGCCAGTCGGTCAAAGGCCGATGCCAGGGCGTCAGAGGGGTCGGTGACACCCGACGCGCGTGGTGTTGCAGCTAGGGGAAAGGGCTGTGCAGGCGCGTAGCCCCTGCACACATGGACACACCACACCACACCATACTGACTCATCCGTTGGATGGGTGAATCGATGCGTGCATGCTTACAGGCGGATGAGCTTGTCGACGATGGTGCGGAGGGGCGCCAGGAGACCTAAAGCGGCCTTTTCGTCCTCTGCATCCACACACACACACACATGAACCAGGGCATGCAATGTCTGCGTGTGCCTGTGCATACGCATACCGGAATCGCCGAGAGTGTCCAGAAGATAGTTTGCGTATGCGATGCAGTAGCTGAGCTCATCTTTGAGCCGATGCCACTCGGTCCGCAGCCTGTGCTTCGGCACACCAGCCTCCCTCTCCAGACGCTCGGCACACAACTTGCTGCATGGGCGGGCACAGAAACACTCATAAGCTACCACATTGCAGTGGTAGAGTGCCGCTTAGCCTACATGATGGCCTGGCTGTGCTGTTGGTCGCGTCGGTCCTTGAATGCCCCGGGCACACGCCCCTGTTCGATGTCCTTGAAGCCTGACACAGCCCACTTGTCGAAGTAATCCATCAAGCAAAGGTGCACGCAGTCGACTGCACACAGCAGACACATGGACACGCACCGGACCGTGGGTGTCTGTCTGGACGCAACACTCATGCCTGTCTGTCTGGCGTACGTACTTGGTATGCCTTGCAGGGTTTTCCTGTGTCGCAGGTTCTGCACAAGCAGGAATCGGTGCTCTCGCGTCTTCTTGTCGGCGAGGAACCCCAGCAGCATCTCGTTGGCCTTGGTGCGGTCGGCAGGCAGTGCACCCGTCATCAACTCCACCATGCCGATCTGCACACACAGCAGACAGAGCCCAGCAGCCCAGTCCCGAGGGAATGTCTCCCTTCATCCCTGCCTTTCTTCCCATCTCACTCACCCGTATGCCGACGTGTTTGCGTATGGCCTTCTCGACAGCAAATGCGATGGCCTGCAGGCACTCTGCCGTCATGTCTGCATCTCCGCGCTTCCTCCGCAGCTTGATGATGACGGCCACGTGCAGGCAGTCGATGCGTGGCGTGTCCTTGGACGTCCCCAGGTGCCGGTTGTCGCTCTCGTCGAGCGTCACCGCACACACGCCGGCCGCAGACACAGGATCCTTCGACCAGGGCACTCGTAGGTCGACGTCCTTGACGGCCCTCACGATGTCGCAGTGGTAGGCGATGTGGCCGTTGCCGCCGTCGACGAGCTGGCGGGTGGAGCCGAGCAGGAAGAGCTGCCCGCCGTGCATGAAGCCGATGTCGGTGGTGCGGAGGTAGATGGGGGCCGACTCGCACCCCGAATGATCGATGATGGCCTGTCCGAAGGCGACATCGGTCTTGTGGTATTCGTCGCGGTAGTAACCCATGGCCAGACTAAGCACCAACAGACAACACACACACCACACGTGGCACGCACCATACATGCGGCCCGACCCCTGCCTGCTGCGATGGCGCTGCGCTGCATGGACTGACCTTCGGGAGTGGACGAATATGGGCCCGTGGCGTCCCTCCTGCACCTCTCGCATGGTGGTTTGGTCGACGATCTTGATGCCGGCGCCCTCCATGGGAAACCCACACGACACCAGGGTGTGCTGGCGGTCACTGACACTCACTTGGCTGTCACCGTCGGCCGACGACGACTCAGAACCTGCCGTGAAGGTGACCTCGCTGATGGCCACCGGGCTGCCAGTGCTGCTGCTGGGGCTCTCCGCCGCTGAGACGCCGATGTCCTCACGCAACTGACGCACGCAACACACACGGGGACACACCTGATACATGTGACTGGTCGTGTGGTGTCGTGTGTGTCGTGTCTTGTTTTGTGTGTTGTGCCCACCCTACCACGTGTATGCGCCCCTCTTTGGCCAGCGCCAGCTTGTCGATGGTCAGCACAGGCAGGGCGTGGCTGGGCCCACCAGCCTGACGCTTGCCTGTGACGAAGCCGAAACACTCGGGCACGCCATACGACCGCACGAAACAACGCATCGCCTGCACCAAGCAAAACACAACCATGCATGCCACCCACACACGCTGGTCAGTGTGTGCATGTGCCGTACGTACCTTGACGAAGCTGTGGATGTCATCTAGCTGGTCTTCGCTGCGAATGTTGGGAGGTGTCTGTCCCGCCCAGAGGCCCCCCTGCTCCATGGGGAACAGGGGCGTCTCGACGCCTGTGTGGTCGGTGTCGTTGACGACATTTATGAGCCGCATGTCGCTGAAGGCGAGGGTGCTGCCCACTGAGGCCGTTATGCTCCCAGTCCGCACTTTGAGCCAATCCTCCACGTATGTCACACAACGGAGAGAGAGAGACCAGGGGGCGGGGAGAAGTCCCTGTGGCAGTGTCGTGTGCGTGTGTTCGTTTCTACGTACCAGTACTGGGACGTCGTGGAATCTGAGCGGCGACACGGCATACACCTGCCACAGACAGACAGAAAGAGAGAGACAAACACCACACACACACGTGCACAAACATACATACATTGACGTGTCTGGTGTACGTCTGCTGACTGACCTTGAAGCCCAGGTATATGCCCGACAGCATGAAGAAGAGTCCGTCACCGAATGTCAGCGGCAGCGGGACCAAGACAGAGCAGCACCCCTGTGGCTCAGCTCGGTGCCGCACATCGAAATACCGCACTGCCTCATCCAGTGTCTTGCCCTGGAAGGACATCGGCGGGTGGGCCGCCTCCACCATCTCCACTCTGCGCCGCAGAATGGCCACCTTCGCAGCATCGACTTGGACCACCGGATCGCCCACAGACTCGCTTGCCAGCTGCTGCTGCATCTGAGCGTTGTCACTCGCGAGCGTCTCCACGTCCACCATCAGCCGCATCCGCTGCAGCTCCGCACGGTTGTGCCACTCAGACATGGACGCGAAGCCCATCACGCCCTCCAGCAGCGACCGATGAGAGAAGGTGGTGGCCTGCTTAGCCCCCGTCAGCTGCATGATGGCCGGGCTGTCCAGGTCCACACCCACCGCGGCCAGCTCTGGGCTGTAGCCTCCCGGTGCGCTGGGTCCCAGCCGAACTCCAGCATCGATGCACACCCACTCCACACCACTGGCCTCCACCTCTGCTAGGGTGCGTTTGGCCGTCTTGCTCTTGGCGTCAGTGGGTGGTGTCTTGAGGAACCACGCTTCTAAGAAGTCGGGGTAGAGGTGGTCAGTCAGAATGACCTTGAGCTTGGCGAACTTGATGTTCTCGGCCATCTCGATGAGGCCGTCGCCGTCCTGCGGGTCAACGGGATCGATGATGACCGCGACAAGGCCCTTCGCCTACACACCACACACCACACACACAACCACCACCACATCACACCATCACACACACAGACAGGGACGGTCGCTCGTGGGGCAAGGGTGTGTGGTGGCTCGCTGACCAGGCAGGCGAGCAAGACGGGGAGGAAGTCGGGCCCAGGCGAGTAGATGAGTCCCACACGGTCACCTGCCTGCAACTTGCGCCCGTCCAACGCCAAAGCCGCCCTCTTGATCCGCTCCAGCAACTCACCATACGACACCTCGTCGACCAGTTCGTCCGTGTCCGACGCCTTTTCTGTCGAGTCCGCCGAGTCAACGATCCACGCGAGTGCCGTGCGGTCGGGGTGCCGTCTGCCCCAATGGTCAGCCACGATGGCATAGAGGCTGCGTGGCCGTGTGGTGGTGTCGGTGTCGGTGTCGGTGGGTGGTTGGGACGAGTGAGACGGGCGCGATGAGTGTGACGGTGTGGGGGCGGCGGTGGAGGGCTCACTCGTGATGGCGGTCTTGCTCTTGGACTTGGGCATCCTGTACGGGTGGGTGACGCACAGGGCCTCGTGTGAGTGGGCACAGGAATGCCCGACACACTATGACAGCACCAACCTGGACAACAGAAGGCAAAAGCGCACAGAATGAGAGGCCAGCTGAACATAATTGCATCGTGCATCCGAACCAAGCTGTCCTGCGCCTTCCTTCGCACACGTCCCGCCTGCCTGTGTGTCGCCAGGTGCCCGGCCCAGCACCTCTGGTGATCCGCCAATCCTCCCGCTACGTCCGTCCAGCGTCGGCAGACCTCTCTGATGCCTCGATGGCGATGGCGTAGTCCTTCACTGACTCGCGTGTCACGTGGAGACGTTCGCCTGCTGGGACAGGGGCGACCGATGGAGAACCGAAGGGAAGGTGAAACCTTGCTGGCGACGAGTGGCGGATCACCTGGGCTGCAGGAAGACGCCCAAGGGCGGAGATCTGCAGCCGCGATCGCGAGCTCAGCTCGCAAGGCCCAAAGTTTTCGCATCATCTTCCTGGGCTTCCTCTCCGTGCAAATCGCATTGATTGGCTTCATTCGCATCGTATTTTCGACAAACTACACTGCAAGAACATCGGGCGGCCCCCCACTCCAATCGAAGCGACAACAGAGGAAACAGCTCCCCCCGACTGCTTCTCTCCCTCCCGTCTTCGGCTCTCGGAGCGTCAGCACCATGAGCTTTCAGTTCGGGCCGCTGAATTACCTTGTGGGAGTGGTGGGACTGGCGCTCTCGTGCACCTGGTGCTTTGCAATGCTGGGCGGCTTCACCTGCCTCCAGCTGCCCTACGGATGTAAGCAGCGCACACGGAGACGGACAGACACAGTCTCCCCTTTTGCACAGGCCCCACCGTCATTTTCATGGGCACGAGCGACGTGTATGTCGCGGCCGGGTACGCGGCCTTCGTGGTCTTTGGGCTGCCGTGGATGATCCAGATCGGGATCGGCTTCCTCTGGCCCATGGGAGTGCTCTGGCCCTCCAAAATCACTCGGGAGCAGGACGGCGAACTGCGGAAGATCACCATCTGCTTCCGCGTCGTCACCCGAGGTGACAGCAGGGAACTCGTGAGGTGAGTGGACAGGGGAGGGTTCCAGCAGGAGGACCGTTGTAAGATGACATCGTGTCTCCGCATCTGTCAGGCAAATCTGCCAGACCAACAAGCGGCTTCTGATGAGCCTATCGCAAGAAGACAAGCTACGGACCAGATGGCGAATCGAGGTCACACAAAGACAGACAGACAGACAGTCAGTCAGAGACACACACCCGAGACCCCCTCTCCTCACGCCTCTCCCGTCCTCCCCTTTCTGCAGGTGGTAACGGATAAGCCGATAGGCATCCGTGAGGTGCTGCAGGACTACACCAACATCCGTGAGATCGTGGTGCCGACTGAGTTCAAGAGCGCCCACAACACCAAGTACAAGGCCCGTGCTCTCCACTACGCCAACGAGGCGTCTGACTTGGGCCCCAACGACTGGATCGTCCACCTAGACGAGGAGACGCTGCTCGCGGAGTCGAGCGTCATAGGCATCATCAGACATGTCAACGAACACACCTTCCTGGATGCCCACAAGAAACGCATCGGACAGGTCCGTCACTGGGCTGCAGGGACGGTCGGCCGAGCAGCATCTAGGCTGGTCTGTGCGTGTGTGTGTGTGTGTGTATATATATGTGTGCAGGGTGTGATAGTGTACGGTCACGATGACATCATCAACCTTCCTGTGACGATGGCCGACTCGATCCGCGTGTCGGACGACTACTGCCGCTTCAGGATGTTCTTCACCCTCGGATACCCTCTTCAGGGCATGAAAGGCACGCGACAACCACCCACTGGACACCACACCACACCACACCACCTGTACACCCCCATATGTCTTGTTGTGTCTCTCATTCAGGTTCGTTTGTGGTGGTGCCGGTTGACGTCGAGAAGGACGTGTCGTTTGACCTCGGTCCCGAGGGCTCCATCACCGAGGACGCCGTCTTCGCTCTCAAGGCCATGCAGAAGGGATACAAATTCGCATTCATCTCGGTACGGACCCTGACACAATACACACACACACACGTCTGGAGATGTCTGTGTGGGTGCTGCAGGGCGTGATGCGCGAGAAGAGTCCGTTCACGTTTCTGGATTTCCTGAAGCAGCGCCGCCGCTGGATCCAGGGGCTCTGGCTCACTGTCCTCCGCAAGGACCTCTCCGCCAGGAACCGCATCCGTACGCACACTCACACACACACACACACACATCGATGCCACCGCACGCCTCCCATCGATGTGGCTGGGCTGTCTGTGCTTCAGTCCTGTTCATCATGATGGTGAACTGGTCTTTGATGCCGATCATCCAGCTGGGCGGCTACCTGCTGGTCCTCTTCACCCGACAGCACACCATGATCTACATCACCATCAGAACCATCACACTCGTACGACTGACTGACTGGACTGCCGGCCTTCTCTCCGTCCAGCACACACACTCTCCTCTCACACGTGTCTCTGTCTCTCTGTCTCTCTGTCGATTGATTGGCAGGGCATTGCTCTTTGGGTGTATGCATTTGGAGCCATACACAACTTCGACCCCAAGCGTCACGGCTGGATCTTCTACATCGGTGCTGTCCTTGCTACCTCTTTCTTCGCCTGGTACTTTGCCTTCCTCGAATGCCTCGGTCGGTGAGAAAGGCAAAGGCTGCCAACTCACGGAGACACCACACACACACAAACACAGAGAGGCAGAAACCACAGCCACATAAATACTCTCTGCCTTTTTGTGTGTGCAGCCTCTGTGTGGGCCACGCCGAGCTTCCTCTGGGAGCGCACTTTCGGCTTCCACGTCGTCAAGAAAGGTGAGTGCACTGCGAAGAGGCAATCGGTCTCGTTGGCGAGACACACACATATATGTGTTTCTTGGTGTCGGTGGCTGCGCTCAGAGTACAAAGGCATGGGCGCCAGCCACGTGTCGGGCACCTTCGGCACGCCTGCCTCCACCCGCACCGACGACCAAGTGCCAGTGCCCCTCGAAGTCCTCACCGAATCGTCCGCCAGAGACAACAACTACAACAACCACAACGAACCCACCATCCACACGGCCAACAAACCACTCAACGGTAAGCAAGCATGGCCAGCCATGAAAGCCTGCGTGTTAGACACACGCACGCCCTCGATGCGTCCATGTCTTTGTACAGGAGGGAGTGGTCCGATTCACCACAAGAGGACGACCAGCACGGCAGACCTCCCCAGTGGCGGCCTCTCCATGGGCCGCGGAAACAACGGCACCGAACTCTCAGGCTTCCGCCCCAAAATCGCATCGGTGAGACATTGAGGCAGGGAAGAAGGGAGGGACGACAGACAGACAGACAGACTTAAGGGGGATCCTCGTGACGTGTGTGTGTGTGTTCGTGTGTTCTGGTCTTCCTGCAGTACATCCAGCTGAACCAGAATGAGCATGAGGTGCCGGAGCAGATTGACATCGAGATGGGCCGCGTGCCCAAACAGCAGAAGATGCCCACCGGCGCCAACAACATCGACAGCAACAACAACTACCACTGCAGTGTCAACGACGTGGAGATGGGCCTGCTGGCCGAAGACAACACCATGACAACGCAAGTGATGACCAGGAAGAAGGGCAGGCGCTGGCTGCGGCTGCCCTGGGGCAACAAACGATAGACAGCTTCACCATCCATCCGCTTCAGGCAGGCTCACATTCATCCAATCAATAGATACATACATACAGGTCCGACGTCTGAGACATCAATGATGGATGCATGCATTGACCATGCTTTGTGTGCGTGCGTGCGTGCATGGGCCGAGAGGGGGCAAGACGGAGGCAATGTCAACTCATGGACAGACAACATGACATGCAGTGTCTGTCCATTCGATGCACACACACAGGGAGGGTGGCGATGCAAAACTAGCCGCTACACATACATACATACATACAGATGTGTGTGTGGGTATATATCTACACTTGCCCCCTCTGCTACCCACATCCCTCCATGCGCACACCACACGGGCGCCCGCCAATGAATGCATGCATTGTACTTGATTGATCACGGTCTGGCCTTGGGCGCCGCCTGCGGACCCCCTGGACCGCCTCCCTGTTGCTTCGCCGGGGCAGCCAGACACAGTCGGGCCAGCAGACCACTGCATATGTATGCACACCAATGAAGAGTGGGAAGAGAACGGTCGGGTGCCTGTGTCGATCTCGTGTGTGATGTTCCCTCCCCGCCTGCTGACTGACACACCCGATCTGTACGAGGCTCGACACACCATCAGCGAAGCGCATGTGGGTAATGCCAACGGTCTGAATCAGCAACAGGCTGGACGATGAGCGGCATCCCTCCCTCCCTCCCTCCCTCTGGCGTGCGTGTTTGGCGTGCGTACCTTCAGGTATTCCAGTCGTGTTTGCTCGTTCATGTCATGGGTCTTGAGCACGCGGAACATCGTCGCTGAAGGCGCATCGCGTGCGTGGCAAGGGGGTAGACAGGGGGAGGGAGGCGGGTGGGTACTTATGTGTCAGCCATGTTTGCTGTTTACCTACCGATGATGTCGATGCCGGCATAGCCCGCACGCCACATGCCCTCCAGTATCTTGTAAGCCTATAGACACACAGCACACAGCACACAGCGCTCTGGTGATCAGTGTGTGTGGTCGATCTATCTATCGTGGCTGGCTGGCCCCCACCCCACTTGACTACCGACCGTATCCCAGTCTCTCTCCGTGCATGCGTCGATGGCGTCCTTTATCCGCTGCGGATGGGGCTGGTCACACACCTGCGTGTACCATGCAAAGGGCAGTTAGGGTAGAAGTGTAGCAGTGCCCATGGCATGGATGTGATGTTGTGTGCTGTCGGCCGACTGACTGACCTTGAACACGTTCTCATTGTTGACCATGGAGAAGCCCGACCAGGTCGATTGCAGGTTGTTGATCGCCTGTTAAATCGCACCGACACAACGAACAACACACACGCATCCACGGACGAACTGTTGACAGCTTGGTCCACGCTGCATAGGCATGCAGACATACAGACATACGCACGTACATTTCGCATATCTCCTTCGGCCGAGAAGACCAGGGCCTCCAAACCGCTGTCCACATAGTCAACCTGACACACAGACAGACAGACAGACAGACACACAGACAGGGATCAACACACACAGGTAGAAGTACGGCACCAATGAGCGTCCACCCACTTTACCTTCTCCTCCTCAATGATGTGCTTAAGCCGCGCAGTCACCTACACACACCGAAGCACAACATTCATTGCAATGAATGATGATAGCATCCACAGTCCACCTCCCATCCCTCGGCGTCCCCACTTGTTTGTCGCTGAGTCTTGTGAATCTGAGTACGGCACATCGGCTCTGTATGGGTTCGATGATCTTGGTCGACGCGTTGCACGCCAGCGCGAACCGGGTGGTGCTCGAATGCAGCTCCATCGTACGACGCAACGCCTGACCGAGAGAGACGAGAGAGGGGAAAGCATGCATTTCCACCCGATCCAGCAGCACCATCTCTCGCCGTGTGTTGTGCTCCCCCCTGTGTGTGGGTGCCGTGCAGTGCACACCTGTTGGGCATTTTCTGTGAGTGCGTCGGCCTCGTCCATGATGACTATCTTGTGCCGGCCGGAGGGCAGTATCATCTTCTGAGTGGCGAACATCTTGATCTTGTTGCGAACCACATCTATACCTCTGCACACACACACACGCACACACTTGTCTTTTGAGGAGCTTCCAGTGAGTGCGGAGCTGCCTGTCGTCAGATGCGTTGAGCTCGAGTACGGCTGTCTTGGCGGCATCTCCCAGCAGCGTGTTGGCAAGGCACAGCACGCTGGTGGTCTTGCCGGTGCCCGGAGGACCCTGAAATACACATCACATCATGCGCATAATCAACACAGACATTGGCAGATCTGTCAAGATGCGGCCGTGCATTCACTCCGCCGACTCATTCTGCCTTCCCCATTCGTCGCACAGACCCCTTCCATGTCTTGGGCGTACCGCGAGTATGAGGTTTGGCATGCTTCCATCTCTGGCGATGGCTCTGAGGCGCTCGACGGCCGCCTCGTTGCCTACGACATCTATGAGCTCACGAGGACGGTACTTCTCCACCCACGGCTGGGTCATTTTACTGCGTTGACACTGATGAAGCTCGCAATGCGAGCCTGTGGGCGTCTCGCCCACTTCTGCCCCCCCAGTTCCCGGATGCCTTGTCTGCGTGTTTCTGAGCTGTATGTGTCACTGTACTGACAGCTGGTGATCTTCTCCTCCTCGTGGCTCAGTTCACCATGTGGCAGTACCCGAGTAACTGTTTGAGGCTGCGTCGGGTCTGCTGCCAAGATCAGCCACGGCAGCTGGCCCTTCAAGACGCCGCCAGGAGTCCGCATGCAGCGCCGGCGGCAGCCGCTGTGGAAGACTTCAAGTCGCTCCTCCGCCACGCCACGGTTGATACATTTGAGGAGGCTGGGGAAGCCAACCATCGGCTGAGGAGCAAGGTGCAGTATCTTGAGAGGCGGCTCAAGGCACTGCAGGGCGGCATCCGGGATTTTGCCAGCAGAGAGGACAAAAGCGCTCAGATGTAAGTACGTATGGCTTGGAATGCATATGTGCGTGTGTGGATGGATGGATGGATGGATGACACTGTCCCCCTGCAGGCTGAATAGAATGAAGGCGGAGATCGGTCAGTTGCACCATGACCGTGCCCTGCTCATGGACCAGGCTGGTGCGCGGCAGACTCTGCAGTCTGAGCTCGACTACTGGTTCAATGAGTGCAAGGCTCTCAAGCAGGAGCGAAACTTCCTCGCAGACCAGCTGCAGATCAAGGCATGCATACGCGCATCCAGATCATCCGGTCATGCATGTCGTTGACTTGGTTGCAGCTTGATGGCCGCGAGCTGCGGGACTGGGTGGAGGAAAGAGACGAACTGAGAGGCAGGCTGCAAGTGAGTCAAAGAGGCACGCACACTCAGCCAATGGCGAATATGTATGTGCGTGTTCTTTCGTGCAGCATGCGCTCGACTGGATTGGGAGGCTCTCGACAGAGGTTGATATCATCTCTGCTGACCCATTGATCAGTCTACAGTCTTCAAGACTCCCGCGCCCAGCAGCCCTTTCCCCATATGCTGACCTGCAAGAAGAGGATGAGGAAGACAGCACGGCTGAGAGGGAGGGCGTTCCTGAGGCAGCACAAGAGACCACCCCCACAGAAGGGCAACAACCGGTCGGCGAAGTCCAGGAGACCCTCGCTGCTGCTGCTGATGCTGCTGGTGACGAGGAATCGCCCCCCGGTGTCTCTGCCAGGACGCCAGCGGAAGAAAAAACGGCAGAGACACAGCCGCGAGAGGATACAAGGCCGACAAGGCGGGCTCCCCCCACTGAGAGGCGCGCAGCCGACTCCCGTGCAGCTGTTGCGACGGACCGCACACCGACTGACGCCATCGGTAAGCCCGTGTGTGAACAGAGAGTGAATCCCATGTGTAGTGGTTCGTGTTGGGTGCATGTGTCCATGCCCATGTAGGTGTGTCTCTGACTGTCCGCCGTGTCAACGAGTGCATCCGTCAGTGTCATCAGCAGATGTCTGTCGCCCACGAGAGCGCCAGGAAGGTCAAGGGGTTTCTCTTCAAGCTGTTCGCATGGATCGTTTTCACGCTGCTTGGCAAGAGAAGGCAGCAGGTGATGAAGTGGGGTCTGCGGAGGCTGAGAGACAACAACAGGGCCAAGGGTGTCGAGGAGGACATCCAGATTCTAGAAAGGGCTAACAGGTCAGAAGGAGGCCCGTGCATCTGGGTGGGTGTCAGCTAGACTCTGTCTGTCCGGGCGATGTCCCCCTTCAGGAAGCAAGAGATGTCTCGGCGGACGACCATCGTCGCTATCAGGCGCACAAATCAAGCTATGGGCGCCCACTTCAAAGCATGGAGGGTGAGTAAGGCTGTGACGGGGCATGCCGTATTGATGCACCCCTTCGTGGCCTTTTAGGCGTTGCTCGAAGGGAAAAGATACGCCAGAGCCGCCGTGTGTCGACTGGTTGCCGTCCTGTATGCCATCCAACGAGCCTTCCTGCAGGCCAGCTGGCAGCAGTGGGTTGGCGGTGAGCTACGGACGGCCTGGAGGGAGAGGGGCAGTCTTAGAAGCCGCTTCAAACGACTCGCACACGTACACATAGCTGGCAAAAGAAAGCTATGGCCACCTATCCCCCGTGTGTCATTTATTGTCCCTTGCATCTACTTGTCCAGCTGCGGCTCGGCCACTTCCTGTCCGCTATTGATTCGTCCCCCGATCCTCTGGCTCAATCCGTCTTCGACACTTGGCGGGCCTTTGTGAGCGAGCAGCAAGCCATGAGGGCGTCGCTGGGCCATCTGCACAGGCAGGACTCACTCACACACATCGATCCTACCCACCTGTGCCCAGTGTCTGGGATGGGCTGAACTGCTCATGCTTTGTTTTGATCAGGCTTTGGAGAACTCTGTGCTCTGGCCTGGCGAGGCGTGCGCTAAATGTGTGGAGGCGGAGCACAGTGAACAGACGCTTCGTTGACGCACGAAGGGAGGAGGCCAGCAAGACCAGAGAGGTTCAACGCACAAGAGCCGCCCGGGACATGCTGAGCATCGCGTCCCGATACCACAGAGAGGTGAGTCATCGAGGGGAGACATATTGGAGTCTTTGAACAAGATCACACGCACCGCTGCGTGTCGCAGCATGATGGCCATCTCTTGAGGAGTTGTTTCACGTCGTGGTTACGCCTTGCTCGTCTCTCCCATGACAAGTCCCACGGGTGTGTCGGCTTGGCCAGATCGATAGGCAGGCTGGCCCTCCAAAAGGTACGATGTGCCTTTTTGCGATGGAAAAACTGCCTGGACGCCGACATCCTGCGGAGACACGCACTGATTCGCCTCGCGAGGTAACTGCCTGCACAAACATGGAAGCAAGGCGCCCATGCTTTTCTTTCCATTCGACAGGGCCTGGAGGCAGCACACTCGTGTGTTGACACTTCGTGCTTTCCATCTGCTGAGGCAGCACCGGGTGGAGATCGCCGGCCACTCCTGGCTGCAGCAAATGCGCCAGGAGACGGCCATGATGGTGGGTGGCGGCGCAATGGGAGGTGGCCTTGTCAGCTACGGAGTCGGAGTCAGTCAGCCAGCAGTGGCGGGCCAGCCATTCCGGCCTCCGACCGCCTTGCTGGGCGGCAGTCCACCGGTGACTCATCCCCTCTCAGCGCATCCTCCTCCCGCTGCGGTTCGACCGTCGACGACTGCAACTCTCGTCCGATTTGTCGCCTGCTGGGCCCCCCAGGATGACTCGAGAGTGCTCGCAATGGCCTTCCAAGCTTGGCGTGCATACATTGGCCACTTCCGTGCTGCAAAGAGGGCCGCCCACCGCATCGCAGGGATTATTCACCGCAGCTGGCTGACGGCGCTGTCTCGGGCACTCCAATCGATGAAGGCGTCGGTCGTCCGGGTAGTGGCAAAGCGGTCAGTGGAGGAGAGCGCCTTCTCTCGGCTGTCCCGTCTGCTGCATCACGTCCGGCGGAGGCAGATGCAAGATGCGTGGCGACTGGTGGAGAAACGTGTCACGGCAGAGACTCACAATCATGTAAGTGATCGATCAAACACAGCGCTCCAGACACACATATATGCTTGTATCTCCACGTGCAGGTTTGGAGAGAGTTGAGGCGGCGGTCGCAGGCGTATGCGGCCCGATCGATGAGCGTTGTATTGGACCAGGTGGCCGTCGGTGTGGAGACTGACCTGCTCAAGGCCTGCCTCAGCGGCTGGAGGAAGATCAAGAACGCCGCCAGAAGGCAACGCGAAGCAGTCACGCGCCTCGAGAGGTCCGACAGGACACAAAAGCAACGGAAAGCCGATCATCTTGTCCATGTTGCTACGACAGGTCTTTGCATCGCGTGCGACGGGGCGCCCTGTCCTTATCGTGGCTGCTGTTGCGTGAACGAGACATCGCAGCCAGGGAGCGATCGCAGTCCGTCGCCACCATCGCACAAACCTGCCGCACGTCTGGCGAGCGGCTGCTGTGCATGAGCATCTTCGGACACGTCGACCAGGCAGTCAGGAGCGCTGTCGAGAGTGCCTTCCATAGGTGGTGCGAGGCAACCTCCCTGCAGAAGCGACGCGCCAATGCCACACATTGGTTCGAGATGCGACTGAAGAGGATTCAGCGGCGGCTCCTGCGAGATGCTCTCCACAAGCTCACATCACACAGAGACACCGCCAAGACAAAGGAGGTACATAAGCCGCAACACAGCGTGATGCAAAGCAGGCTTCAAACATCCATTCTCTATTGCATTGCCAGGTGGTGCAACGCGAGCGCGCCACGAGGAAGTCTCTCGGTGCCATGCGGCTGTGCAACTCAATCTCTGGCTGGGCGTCCACACGTGACAGGCTTCTTTCCTCACAAATCTTTGCAGCTTGGCGTCGGTTCGTGTCGACTGAGCAGCTGAGGAGACAAGGGATGAGGCAGCTCGCCATGTGAGAAGATACTTTGATTATGCGGATGTTATATCCCGTCTGTTTGTCTGAATATTTCCTCTTCAGCGTGTGCGGCGACGTCGCCTACCAGCTCGAGCAAGAGGCGGTGAGCGCGTGGCGGCGGTATTGCCATCTGCAGCTTCGTCGGATCAGCATTGAGCAGCTGCAGCGGTCGGCATCGCTGAACATGCTGCGAATGTTGGCCACCTGGAGTTCCAATTCCGAGACAAACCTGCTCCGACAGATTTGTCTGTCCTGGCGCAAGTCTGTCAGGGCGGCAACAGCCAAGAGGAAGGGCCTCGTGCGCATCGCAAAGTGAGATCAGATGCGAAGAGGACGACTGTGTTCTCAACAATGCGGCACCTTTTCTGTAGGTGGGTGAAGCGACTTGTGTTGACACGCACATCAGGGGCGCTGCAGCAGCTGAGGGAAAGCATGGCTGTCCGCCAAGCAATGGAACAGGTAAGCACCAAACAAATGGCCTGTCTATGCAATCTCATGCATCTGCTTTTCAGGCTGAAGGCGTCATGGATCTTGCGCAAGCGAGGCGTCATGGCCAGCCTTTCATGTCAGCGTGGCGAAGGTGGACCCTCCAGAGCCGCGACAAGAAGCAGTGCCTCCACCGCACACACTCATTGCTCCTGCTGGCCGTCCATCGGCAGTGCCGAGCAGCCTTCCACAGACTCAGAGACAACCTCATGCACCGGGTAGAAAAGCATCACATTGGCTCTCTTTTTCTTGCATCTCTCTCTTGTCTCACCCTCCAGGCCGTGGCAGCATCCCATGACCGGCGCCAGAGGGCTGGGGCGGCGATGGCTGTCCGCGCTATGGCTGATGCCGTCAGGCGAGACCATGTGCAGAGAGAACGGACGGCATTTCAACACTGGACTGCATATCTAGCGCAACGGCGGCAGTTCAGAGCTGCAGCTCAGGCCATCTCCAGGTATGCTGCCAGTCAGTCAGTCGATCACGCAGCACAGCAGAACTCTCTTGCTTCGGAAGCTCATGCTCCCATCTTGTTGCAGGGCGGTTTCTCGCTTGCACCTGTGGCAGCAGGCAAATGCCTTCCACCTGCTACAATGCCAAGCCTCCTCCATCGCTCCCCCCGAGACGGAGAGTGCCCAACTCACTGCAGCCCGGCTGCTGTCTGCTGCTCTCGGGCGGGCCGCGTGGCGACTCGGTGTGGTGGCCGCCTTCTCCAGATGGAGGCAGCGGGAGGTCCTCATGAGCCGCCGGCAGTCGCAGCACCGCGCAGCCACGACAAACTTCCGCCGGATGCTCACAAATATCGACCACGAAGAAGTGAGAGAGACCCTGCGACGGGCCTTCAACGCCTGGCGACGGTGGCGGGTTGAGGCGAGGCTGCACAAGGGGCTTGTGTGCTGGATGAGAAGCATGGACAACAGGTTGCGGTCGGCAGGGATGAGGGATGCATTATCGAAGCTCGCGCTCCATTCCTCCGTGAGCGTCCTTGCAGTGGATGCAGCGATCGACCGGAGGAGACTGGTGGGGCTTCACCTTTCCGGGCTGCTCGCTGCCTGGATGAGAAGGGTACGACACGAACGGAAGACTGAGCCCTTTGTACCTGGTGTCTCCGTTGTGCGTGGTTATATAGGTCTCAGGGCAGAGTGCCCGAGCTTGCCTGAGGCGTTTGGCTCTTCATTCACAGAGGTGTGGGCGGAGACAGGCAGCGGCCAGGTCGCTGGTGGATTGCATGCAGGCCCTCTCAGTGGCTGCCCAGCGAAGGTGAGCATATGCACCTCCACAGCAGCCATGGGTGTCACACATTCATTTCCTTTCGAGTTGCCAGGTGTCTGTCCAAGTGGCGTGAGTGGGCTCTCCATGACGCGGTGGATGAGGTGCAGCACGAGCGTCGTCTGGATCGCCAGTCTCACGGCGCCAGGAGGCTGACAAGGGCGATCATCGCATGGCAGAGCCAGGTCAGTCAACTGAAACAAGAGAGACTGCACACCACCTCCATTAACGGATGGCTCCATTAACAGGATGATGGTGCGTTTCTGCGACGGGTCGTAATGTCATGGCGGCAAGCGGCCCACCAGACGCGAGAGCAGAGGAGGGCGGTGCCTCGGCTGATCGACTGCCTCGAGAGGCGCCGCATCCGCAATATGCAGGAGACGATGACGTACTGGAAGGCAAGGGCCACGCGGGCCAACATGCGAGAGGCGAGACGAAAGTCCAGTGTCGCACTGGGCCTTTTGAGGTGCCAGAGCACCGTGACAGTCAATCAGGCCGACCTGATGATGCTGAGAGTGGCTTTCGGAGCCTGGTCACAGCACCGAGATAGGCAGCGGGACCGCCGGAGACACGCTGCATACCTCTGCATGGTCATGGGCGGCCTCATGTGCCGGCGGATGAAGCGAAGTGGGTTCGCGTCCCTCGCCCGCCGCCTGCACCATGGCCGCTCCGAACAAGTGGTGAGCGAGTCCGTCCACTCACATGTTTTCTTCATGTGTGTGTGTGGTCAGATGGACAGGTTGCGTGAGCATCGGAGGCACTCTGCTATCCATTCACTTACCAAGACACTGGCCGTCTTGCCACCGGACCAGCTGCTCCCGAACTGCTTCAGAGGCTGGCTGTGGGTGGTCCAGCAGCAGAGGACGGAGGCCAGGGCTGTCACGAAGCTCACCAGGTGAAAGGGAAGAGTGCCTGGTCTCGTCATTTGGTATTTGCTTGCTGCACATATGCCTCTGGCTGAAGGGTGCTGCTGCACCGTGCATCGAGCGCCTTGAGCCAATTGCGACATCTAGCCAGGGCCGAGAGACAGCGGACGCACGCCATGCAGGAGGGCGCAGCTATGGCCCATCGGCGGTCGACACTTCGCCAGCTCACCATGTCGCTCGACGCATCAGCCATGCAAGTGAGGCAGCCCTAGTACATGCACAGATACATAAACGGATGGCCTTGAATTCAGGTTGACGATGATTTGCGGAGGAGGGCACTCGGAGGCTGGAGACGCGCTGTGGCCCACCAGCGCAGGAAACACCGCGCTGCCACCGCCATGCTGAAAGGCATCCACCGAATCACCCTTCGGCGGGCGGCAGCAGCACTCGGTGGTCTTCGCAGAGGCCTGGACCGCGGCGATTTCCACTTGCACTCGAGGGTGCTGCAGCAGTCCATGGGGTGCTTTGCCCTTTCATTTCTTACCACCGGCATCAGGAGACGGAGACTGGGGGCTGCATTCCAGCGGCTGGCAAGGTACGAATGTCACGTTGCTGGTGACTTCTCTGCTTGCCACTCCTCTCTGTCCATTCAGCCTGGAGCAGCTGGCGAGTGTCCAGACATCCCACTGCCAGCTGCTGGAGTCAACACACACGAACCGACGCCTGGTTGCCGCCTTCGACCGATTGAAAGGTCTCGTGTATCGACGACGCCAGAAGGCGGCCCGCAGGCGGCTCCATGACGCATTGGAAGCCACCCGCCTGCTCAAAATCGAGAGGCGAATGCTGACCAAGTGGCGGGCCGCCCTGAGCCGCCGTCGGTCTGTCGCCCGCGGGGTCAACCAGGTGGACAGGGCATTGAATCGGTGGATGCGCCGGCTGGCGCATGACGCCCTGCAAAGATGGTGCAAGGCGGCGGACAGGGGTCGGCAGACGCGTGAGTTGGGTGCCCGGCTGAGACATGAGAGGCGCATGGTGGTGGACAGGATGGCGGTGCGGCAGAGCGAGAGGGGCGTTTGGGTGTCGATGAGGTATGTGTTGGCGCTGTGGCGGCAGGTCACCAAGGTCAAGAAGGCCTCGCGAATCCTCAAGTACGCTCGACAGCCGGCTGCATGTAAGATGGCAGCCGTCGTTTGTTCTGTCGCTGGGTTGTGTGTAGGGTGACGAGTTTCTGTGTGGCCGTGTCGCGAAGCCGCCGGGAAGCACTCAGATCAGCATTCATGGTCGGTCAGAGAAACACACGAGACACACATGCATCCCTTCGTCCCTCCCTGCTTTGATGTCTTACATGTGTCGCGTTGTCGTCCAGCGTCTTCACATCTTTGCGTTGGAGGAGGTCATGGTCGAGGAGCGCCAGTCGTTCGAGACACACCTGGCCAGGACACACACACTCGAGTGCAGCACCCTAGCGTACGTGCAGGAGTGTCTCAGCTGCCTCACGCAAACACTGCAGCAGGCCCAGCAGCAACAGGCCGCCGAGGCCACCGACGTGGCTGCAGACGTGCAGTCGGCACTCGAGCAGGTAGGGAGTGTGCAACTCCAACCAGACTTCAACATGTCGCTCATAATATTCAGGTGCACACATCCCTGCTGGGGCTGCGCAAGACATATGGAGAGATGCGTAAGGCGCGTGCGTCGCCGATCAGTGAGACCGCGTTGGATGGGGGCAGCTGCCCCAGGTGTCCCCTAAGCCTGCCCCCATCCACCCTATCGAGCCCCCTGCCTATTCCCCTTCACCATCTATACCAGGCGACAGACACCAACAGCACCATTTCGTAGCACACTGGCGCGCTCGCCGATTGATTTGTTGTTCTCCGTGGTGGATGCGAATCACGTCATCGCTTTTTGTTTGAGTGTCTGTTGTACTCTTTATCATCGTAATGATGAGAAATCAATGGATAAAGCAATAAGATGTACCCGTCAGTCAGTCAGTCAAAACCAGCACGCGTCACACGTACTTGCCCGCCACAGAAAAACCATCCTCTCAGATCCTGAAGGAAGGTGACCTGCCTCTATCTCCTCTCTCATAGCTAGCCATGCATCCTATGCCTCCCCACCACCACCCTCCCCACCGCCTCCGCCTTCGTCACCCTCCCCGCCACCACTGTCACGGTTTTTCTTGAAGTCCTGAGGCACATAGACACATAGACATATGCGCATGTTGTTCGTGTGTGGCTCGGGTCGGCTTGCCTTGTCGGGTGCGACGGAGACGGTGAGTCCCGAGCGTTGTAGCCCCACACAGTAGCGCTCTGCCCTGTCCTTCCAGGTGGCCGTGACGGTCGCCACGCCGTTCTTGTGCGCCTCCACTGTGATGGTGTGCGCCTTGGCGCTGCTGATCTGCGGGATCACCTCTATGATCGAATCAGTCACGTAACGAAATCTGCACACGGAGAGAGTGGCAACAAGAACGCAGCCATGTTGATGTGTGTGTGTGTGGGTGCTGTGCTCCCCGTGTGCAGTCCGTCCGTGGCGTACGTGTGGATGTCGTCGTTGTGCAGGAGGACTCGCCAGTCCTTGATCTGTTTGGACCTCTCCTCCTGGTCCTCGTCGAGTTCCTCCTCCTCTTCGTCCTTGGTCTCCTCTCGGTCCAGCAGCCGCACTGCCGCCTTCTTGACCTCCTTGATCTTCTCCATCTGAGTGCCGTCGGCACTCGTCGACATCGACAGCACACACAGGGGCATTGCCTGGGTGACAGACAGACAGGGCATCATCGCACACGAGATGAATCATCGACCACTCACAGGGAGGTGCATACGCGTGCCGGAGTGATCTGCGTGACTGACCTTCCTCCTTGCTGTTGAGATTGGCATCCCGCGAGCAGTCCGCCTGGGAATGGCAGATCGGTGCCTGCCGCTGCCTCCGATAAGGCGCATCTGCACACAGACACGCAGGCACACGAGGGGATGAATGGTGGGACGGCGGCGTGGTGCTGATGTGCTGATCTATGCATTGTCATGCTCACCCAGGATGCAACGTACGCCTGCCCGCATCGAAGCCAAGCAAGGCACAGCACACATATGCCCAACAAATGCATCATCACCTGCCTCATGGCCAACAGGATTCTCGTGTCGTCATCTGCGAGCTTAGAGCTGCGAGCTCATGTCTTGGAGGAGAAAGAAAGAGGTTTTGTCGTTGATGTGCCCTGGTGACCATCTGTACACGAACGTGAACGCCTCAGACGCTGTTGGAGGTATGGAGCCCAAAGGTGATCCTCGCAGCACTCCTGCGGCAGATCCACGCTTTGATCCTGTCACACGGTCAGATACACGAAGCGCACACTCAGTCAGACTTCATCCATTTATCTGTTTTCGCTTTGTGTGAGTCCACCAGGCAGCCGCACACAGGGTGGCTGTCCCCCGAGCTGCTGCTGGCCGCCCTCCTCATTCTGTGCCTCTCAGAAACCGTCCTCTCGTCGGCGCGAGGCCACCAGCCAGGCATCATCCTCGGCGCAGTGCTGTTTGTCCTCAGCGGCATAGCGCTGCTGGCCGCCGCCTTCCCCCTCAGGTGCATCTCGTCGTCCGGCTTCAATCTGGCGGCGTGCATCACGTGCAAGGCGGACAACAAGGTGCTGAGGTACGGCGGGCGGACGCTGCTGTGGATCTTGGTGGTGCTGGTGACCTTCAAGCTGGTGATCGGCATTGCGTGCCGCATGGCGGCGCCCAAGATGCTGTTCCCTGACGCGTGTGAGGTCGATGGATGCACCAGGTGGGTCGGGTGAGCTGACTGACTGACTGGATGCATCAGCGGCGGTGGACAGACAGGTGTAGGTGTGTGCATTCATTCATTCGTCTGTGCGTGGTGTGGTGTGTTTGGCTATGTGTGGCCCGCCCATCAGAGTGAGCTATCAGTCTGCCCAGCGAGGTGAGGGTCTGAAGCCCCTCCAATACAGTGTCGACATGACAGCTGCCGCGTAAGCCACACCCACAGAAAACACGACATGGTCCGGCAAACCGTGTTTTTCATGTGGGCTGTGTGCCATGTGGTGCGTATCCTCAGTGACATCGTGAAGCGATGGATAGAGGGTGAGCCAATGGGTTACTTGGAGAGCGAGAGCGTGGTGCCATCGCCCACACCCGGATCAGCAGCACTCGTCCAGACACTACTGCACGGCAGGTGCGTCACGTCCACCTCTGTCTGCAGCCAGGCGCTCGACACAACACGGCACCCTGTCTGTCTGTGTGCTGAGCCTGGCCTGTCTGTCCCTCAGGTTTCTGACCCGCTGGATGGGCTTCTCTGACGACCTGTTTGTGCTCCTGCGGTGCTCAAACGAAGCACTGCTCGTCGAGGCACAAAGGCAACCACACACACAACACACACACACACAGACGGATGCACATCATTATTCCTTCCTCTGTCTGTGTGTGTAGTTCGTTGCGTGTGGGTCGGGACGACTTCGGAGTCAACGAGCAGCGTGTGCGTCGGCTGTGGGGCCATCTAAAGGATGAGCTGCCCACCCTGCCGCATGCCAAGTGCCCACCGGAGAGCCAAGACGCCATGCACAGATAGACACACACCCACATGACATGACATTAGGGTCCCGGTGTGGTGTGGTGTGGGTGTCAAGCACTCACTAGGTGGGTCTGCCACCTGGGTGTCTGGTTGGCTTCCTTACTGTAGAGGTGTGCGTACTCATCCGCTCACGTCACGTACGGCATTTGTTTGTATCTGTCTGCAAGGCGTAAGTAACAGCGGATTGGCGGCCTGAGGGGGGTGGGGTGGGGTGGGCTGGGTTGGTGTCTTGTTGATCGCTGCCGTCTTGTCCTGGGTCGACGACCGACCCACCGACGTGATTTCATGGGAGTACGGTAAGTACGGGCGCACGTCCCACGTAAGTAAATGCGCCCGTGGATTGATTGGTGATAAGAATGAGCGCTGATGGCGACCCGCTCAGCCTTTTTTCGGTGTTGTGCGACCGACCGGCTGACCGGCAAGGCAGGAGTGACTGAGTCTAGTTATTTGTCGGACAGCAAGGAATATCTCTTGACTGAAGCACTCATTCACAGCGAGCGACCCGGGTCTGGTCTCACACGCACACACAGCAAGGGCAACAAATCGCATCGCACGCTGAGCATAGGTGAGTCGAGTCGAGTCGAGTCGAGTTGATCGGTTCTTGACCCTAAAAAACAGGCATGCAACACCCCACCCATTCCATTCATTCAGGCCCTCTCACCCCACGTAACATTACACGCTCCTCCCTCCCTCCCTCCCTCCATGGCATGGCACAGCACACACGGGGCGGGGCTGTGAAAAAGGCCTGGCCGGGCAAGGCAACCTCAGGCTATCACACCGGCCAGGCCAAAACACCGACCGACCGAGACAGACACGGTGGTCCCTCGGGTCACTCAGCTGCCCTCGACGCCAAACTGCTCTGTGAAGTCGGCCTGCTTCTTGAGGTCCTGCTGACCAACCGTCGCACGCGCATTCTCCAACACAGCCTCAAAATCCCTCTGCACGCACACACCACAGCACAGCACAGCACCAGGTCTATGGATGCAGGCATCTGTGGGCGGGTGAGGGTGCGGTGTTTATGTTGTGTTGGTCATCCCCCCCCCCCTCTCCCACCATTGAGAGGTCGGTGGGCATGAGTTCGGCGGGTGGCACGTCCATGAGGGCCATCTCCTTCTTGGAGGGGTCGGGGTCGCCAGGCGAACACGGAGTCCAAAACTCCTTGCCGTCACGACTTATCTGCACGCACGCAACGCAACGCACGGAGATTGGAGACAGACAGACATGTGTGAACGCACCTCTCAGTCAAGCAAGGTGTGTGTCGTGTTGTTGTGCCGTGGCATGCATGGCTCACCCGTTTGAAGTGTGTGGCGGATCTGCAGATTCTGACAGGCTCAAACAGGGCGTCGCGCACCACCACAGAAATGTCGGCACCAGAGAAGCTGCGTACAAGGACGGACGTATGAATGCAATGCCGCAATACAGAATATATTGTCGGTGGATGTGTCTGTACGTACGTGGCAATGTATGTCACTTACCCCTCAGTGCATTCGGCGAGTCGTTGGAAGTCTGCGTCATTGAGGCTGTTGGGCGTCTTGCCCACGTGAAGCTCAAAAATCTGATGCACACACATAGATCGATAGGCCATACATGCGATGCGATCGATGGCTTATCTTCCACTTCCTGGGTCTGGTCTCATCGTCTCGTGTGCACTGCACATTATATGAATGTATATGTGTGTCGTGTCCGTACCCTTTTCCTGGCCCTGACGTCTGGCAGTGGAATGTAAATGCGGCGCTCGAACCTTCGCCGAATGGCCGCGTCCAGCTCCCACGGCACATTCTGCCACAGACACAGACACAGACACAGACCAGCGAACAGACAAACAGACACATCACATGCAGCCAGGTTCAGGCAGACAAGCGACCCTTTCTGTGTGTGCGTACGGTGGCCCCGAGGACCAACACGCCATTGTCGTCCTTGCCGACACCTGATGCATCCATCGATAATGCATATCGAGATGTGCCGTTCATGTGTCAGTCAGCGTGTCGTGTCGGTGCTGTGGTGTCAGTCAGTCAGTCAGTCTGCTTGCCTTGCATTTGCACGAGGAACTCAGTCTTGATGCGCCGCGATGACTCGCTCTCGCCGTCAGAACCACGACCTGCAGCGCACACCAAGACACAAAGAGATAGAGGCGCATGAATGAAATGGATGCGTACGCTTGCATGGTGAGCCCACTCCCCTGACCGCTGCACAGTGAGTCGACTTCGTCGATGAATATGATAGACGGCTTGGAGGCACGCGACATCTCAAACAAAGTGCGAACCAACCTGCAAACACGCGGTGCAGCATTGGTGGTCTGGTCGTTGCCGGCTTGTTGGCTCCTCGCGAATCTCATCTCACCGCTCGCTTTCGCCCTGCCACTTGCTGACGAGGTCAGAGGATGACACTGACAGACAGGCAGACAAACAGACACCACGCAGCGCACACACACGATGAGGCAGGCAACCAATCGTGCGATCGATCGCTCGCTAAGGCACCCACCTGAGAAGAACTGTGCGGATGCCTCGGTGGCGCACGCTTTAGCCAAATAAGACTTGCCCGTGCCGGGAGGCTGCACACACATTCCAACACATATGCTATGCCACTCACCCAGTGGCCTGGCCATGTGTGTTCGTTGGTGCTTGTTTTGTGCTTACGCCATAGAGTAGAATTCCCTTCCAGGGTTTTCTGTTGCCCGTGAACAGCTGTGGGAACCTGGTGGGCAGGATGACGGCCTCCTGCAGCGACTCCTTGGCCGACTCCAGACCTGATGCGATGCGATGCAGGATGGGATGGTGCGGACACATCCATCCATCCATTCATACAAATGTACGGCGGTGATCTATCTATCGATCGATTGATCGACTTCCTTGGTTCCTACCAGCCACATCGTCCCACTTGACGTTCGGCTTCTCCGTCACAATCGCGCCTGACAGACAGACAGACAGACAGACACGCACAGAGGGACGCAAACACAATCGATGCAAAAGATGACTGACGGCTGTGCTGCAGTGCACTCGCACGTACTTGTGAGTGCGTTCTTGAGTTTGTCCTTCTCTTCGGCGCCGTCCTTCTCACCGCTGAAGCCAAGCATGATCCACAGACAGACACAGCAGACAGGACAGGCACATCCATCTCTGGTGTATGTATGTATCTATCGCTGTGTGTGGATAACTTTGCTGGCTGCCACCGTCCGTACCCCTCCTTGTGGTCCTCCCCGCCAGCGGGCAGCGGTGGCTGTTTGTTTTCACTTTTGGCAGCCAGGTACTCCTTGATCTTCTCGGCTCGGGTCACGTACTCCTCCATCTTCTTGTACAGACGCTGCTTCAGCACCTCGTTCGACTGATCTGTGTGGTGGCCATTCACACACACACACACACAGGCAAAGATCTCTCTGCAGTCTGTCTGTCTGTCACTCCTTGTTTGTGAGATGTCGTCTGTGGCGTTGATTACATTTGCATACGAGTGACCAGTTGTCGAGTGAGAGTTTGTACAGCTCGAGTGCCTCCTCGTACTGGCCATCCTTGTCCTTCTGAGCCGCACTCTGCGCCAGCTCTATCGCGCGACGCAGACGCTCGTCCTCCATTGGGCCGCAGATGCTGCCGCTCTCTGTCTACGCCAATTTCCTCTCTGATGCAATCAACTCTCGCTCCTTCGAACTTCGGGATTTGCGCGCTCAGGCTCGCAGAAGGGGGAGCGTTTTACGAGCGATCGGCAGCGCTGTGTCGTGGACAAAACGAGATGAATTCACTCGAAGGACTCATCCCAGGCACTGCTCGCCAGCCGCCTGTACCGCAGCAGAGAGATCTTCATCCATTGTCTGCCCTTCGCCTGATCTCTCGACATGATGCAGCTGACGACACTGGTTGCAGGTGCGCATGAGATGCCATCCCATGCATCACGCAGAAAAGAGCGTGGTTTGGTGAGTCATCCCTGTCCGGTCTGTCAGTTGTGGCCCTGGTGATCCAGACGTCGACTGTCGGTGCAGCGGAGGTGGCCTTCGTCGCTGTCCATGGGCCGCCACTCATGCGCACCCGAGCACAGCACCGCCTTGCGGGTCCGGCTGTGAGGAGGAGCCAGCCCATGCGTCAGGGGCCCGTCATGATAACAAGCGACAACTTCATCGACAGGGCGTTCAGGCTCGCCCGCAGTGTGATAGGTGGCACCGACAGACTCTGCCTGCCGTTGCGCTTTGAGTTAACGTTGTCCCCCCCTGTGATAGGTGGCATTCTCCTACGCATCGAGGACCCAGAAAAGCTCATCGAACAGGCCGTCACAGGTAGTCACAGGCACACGCAGTCCGTGGCGGATGCATCAGGGTGACTGACCGCCGTGTGTGGTGTGTCCATCCATCGTCAGACATGCAGAGTGACCTCGGCCGCATCAAGCAGAGTTATGCGGAGGTGACGTCGACCCAGCGGCGTGGCGAGCGGCAGCGGGAGGCTTTACTGGAGCAGGTGCAGGAGTGGGAGAGGCGAGCACAGCTCGCCGTCAGCAAGGTGGGTGCGTGTGGCTGCGCTTATGTACGCATCGATGTGCACACGCTAATCGTGTGTGTGTGTGTGTCTGGATGGCGCAGGGCCGTGATGACATGGCGAGGGAAGCACTGCAGCGCCGCGTTGTGTTGACGACAAAAGTGCAGGGTCTTGACGAGCAACTCCGAGTGAGTGATCAACGCCGATTTCTCACACAACAAACCACACTTTCCTTCCCGCGTCTTCTTTGCAGATCCAGAAGGAGGCGTTGTTGCAGCTTCGCTCTTCGATGAGGACGCTGGAGGGCAAGATTCTGGAGGCCCGCAGCAAGAAGGAGCAGCTCATCGCCCGCGCCCGCACCGCCAAGACGGCTCAGCAGATCCAGGATATGCTGGGCGGCCTGGGTGCAGTTCCCACATCCCTGCAGGCGTTCGAGAGGATGCGAGAGCGCGTTGAGGCCCTCGAGGCCAAAGTGGAGGTATGCATGATCGCTGACTAACCTTAGCGTGCTTACCATACGAGAGTGTCTTTGTCTGTGCGTGCGTGTGTGTGTGTGTGTGCAGGTGAGTCGTCAGATGAGTGAGAATGCGGGCAGCCTCGAGGAGCAGTTCCTGTCGCTGGAGTTTGGGGGTGAGGTTGAGGAGGAGCTCTTGCGGCTTAAGCAGCAGCAGGGCATCATCGACACTACTCCCCAGGAGCGACAGATACCCATCCAACCGGTCGGTGTGCGGACGGACAGAGGCACGAAAGAGGGTCGGATCCTTCTGCGCGCAGCTCGAACAAACATTGTTTCTGTCATGTGTGTGTGACGCATGTCATTTCAGCTTCGCTTCTCGTCACCCGAGACAGTGGAGAGAGAACTGATTGAGTTGAAGCGCGCCAAGCCGCCTGCTGCTGAAGAGGAGCGAGCTCCCACCAGATACACGTCGTGACCTGACGACAAGACACACACACACACAAACACACACACCGTGCTCCAGGACGGCCCTTCCGTGAAGGCGGCATTCGCGATGCGCAAGAGGGACAAACATACACACGTGGCGGCTGAGGATGTAGGCTTGCTGCCATTTCTGCCACTCATGTATTTTCTGGTCATTGATCCTTCCGCGTGCTGACTGTAATCCGTTTGTGTGGATGTATGTTCGTATGTTGGTATGTGTGGGTGTGTTTTTTCGGCCCATGTATGTATGTATGTATGGTGTGTGTGTGGCGTCCACCGCGGACTTGAGGCAGATAAGTACTGCTGTGCATAGGATAGCATAGCAGAGGATAGCATAGCAGAGGGGGAGAGGAGAGGAGACCACGTGTCTGTCCGTTTGAATCAGTCAGCTGCCATGGGATTGATCAATACGATCGATATGCACACACACCCCTACACACAAGTGGACACCAAAACGGCCGACACTCACTCGGGTAAGTCTATACGCACCCGCACACACGAGCCACGTACTGACACAAAACACGCACGAGTCACGAGCAGTGGATGACCGATCGCTCAGGGCTGCCTACCCACTCCTACACACCATGCAGAGACACTGACAGAGAGAGATAGCTAGACATCAAGAAAGAGGAGGGAGGCTCGCTAGCATTGAGACAGGTCAAACCACACCGCCCGCAAACACCGGCACGCCGCAGCCACCAGTCAGTGTGTCGGGTATGCAATCGATCAGTCAGTCAGTCAGTCAGTCAGCACGAGGAGCACCTACCTGGCAATCCATTCATCAGTCGAGTCGTCCAATCCACACATCCAATCCACCATTCGAGAGCCCTGAGGTGCTTTGACCTCAGCGCCACAAACACCCACCCATCCGTCCACCATCTAGTCCTCCGCCGCGGCGGCCACCGCCAGGATGTCCTCGTCCAACTCCACCTGCTCCTTGTCCAGCGCATCAGGCAGGAACGCGTTGATGATATCAATCAGGTTCTCCTCGAACGAGAAGATCAGCAAGTCCAGCGCCGTCTCGCCAATGTCAATGTGCTTCTGCGTCTGCTCCGTGAGGAACGACGCCACATTCTCGGGCGCCCACGCGTTGGCGATGATGCCGACTGGGCCGGGGCCGGGCTGGATGGGGACCAGCTCCTTGAACTTTGCCCTGTCCTGGGGGATGAGGGTCTCGTTGATGGCCTTGACAAAATTATCGATGGGGAACTTGCTGAGAGGCTTGATGTCCACGCCATACACAGGGGACACTTTGTCATCGCCATCCTCGTTGGGGAACTTCTCGGCGAGGTCCTCGGTGAGCTTCTCGAGGCGGTAGTTGTTGAGGTTGACCAGCTCCAGCCCCGCCGACACCGTGCCAGCCGTGTCGCTCACATGCTCCAATGCGCTGTCGATGATCTTCTCGGGGTGCAGTGACTCAAGCGTCTTGTCCACTGCCGCACCGACAGCCTTCGTGGCGACAACATCGACAGCCCCAAGAGCGCCCTTAGCAACGTCGCCGGCGGCGGCGACCTTGCCAGCCGTGTCGCTCACATGCTCCAATGCGCCGTCGATGATCTTCTCGGGGTGCAGTGACTCAAGCGTCTTGTCCACTGCCGCACCGACAGCCTTCGTGGCGACAACATCGACAGCCCCAAGAGCGCCCTTAGCAACGTCGCCGGCGGCGGCGACCTTGCCAGCCGTGTCGCTCACATGCTCCAATGCGCCGTCGATGACCTTCTCGGGGTTCAGTGACTTAAGCGTGGTGTCCACTGCCGCACCGACAGTGGCGACACCATCGACAGCCTTGCCGGCGGCATCGAGGAAGTCAGCGACCTCACATTGCGCCACCAGCAAGGCACTGGCGACGACGAGCAGCGTCAGCGCCGCACGGGCCATCGCTGAAGAAAGAGATAAATGAATCGATGTGGCGAAGTCGGCGCAGGAGGGGAAGGCTCGCGCTCCTGCGGCGTCAGGGATGGTCAACAACGTCGTCTTCCTGGCGTTTTGCCGCCTTCCGAAACCCAGCACTGTAGCCCGTACGGGTTTACAAATTTACACATCCCTTCTCATTCTGGCACACGTCTCACCCACGCTCTCCCAAGAGAGGGATCAAGCGCAGGAAGGGAGAGGCCGTGGTTTTGCGTGGAGGCGACAAAGTGCCCCTGGCTTGCCTCTCACTGAGGCTCTTCAGTGTGTGTGTGTCAGTGATGATGAGAGCGGCAGCGTTGATCTGTGCGTGCCTCGTGTCGTCATGCTGGGCACAGCTCCTCCCGAGAGGCCGGGCTGGGGAGGGTATCCTGGGAGGCCAGAAACGCATCAAAGAGTCCCGGTACGTGTCACTGCCATGCCGCGCATTACTCCCTCTTGGCTGCATGAGCTGCTGTCCATCTGTCTGTGTGTGCAGGAAGGTTGATATGGCCAAGTGGGGCATGCCAGGAGTGAAGATCGGCATCGACGAGATGATCAAGAACGGGCCCACCTTCAACAAGCTCAAGGAGATAGCGGAGCTGCCATCGGACCAGATGTTCGACGCCCTCGCGTCGGAAAGGGGGCAGCGGCTGGTGAGCAGCCTGTTCGAAAACCTGAGGCCACAGACGGCTGGCGACATCGTCTCGCAGCTCCTCACTCAGACCACACCCGAACAGGCCGAGCAGGTCAGTCAGGCAGGGCCCTCAGCTGTTGTTTGGGTGCGGCATTTATCCACTGGCTGTGCGCGTGTGCAGATGGTTGAGACGGTGATGGAGAAGCTGGAAGACGAGGAGACGCCCCAGATGCTGGAGGAGCTCGTCGACAGACTCAACGAGGAACAACTGCAGGACATTGTCGCCACTTTCGTCGAACGGGTGAGTGAGCTCACGGCAAGCACGCATCACAGTGCGGCCATCACCCCCCTGTTGTGGCGTTCCGTCAGGTCCCGTCAGAGCCTATAGCCGAGTTCGCCAAGGCGTTGGCATCCATTGATGAGGAGAAGATCGAGAAGGTCAGTCAGCACGAGCCAGCCAGGGAACACGCATCCTCACCGCATTCGTCACCTCTGTGTGCGCCAATGTGTCGTGTCTGCAGAGCGGTTTGGATCCCGAGAAGCTGAGGCCCATCTTGGCCAAGCTCCTCGACAGTATCGATGATGAAGACTACAACAAGCTCGCCGGCGCCATCGAGGAGGCCCTCCCCCCATCCAACCTTGGGGGCGTCCTGGCGGCCACTCTCCCCTCTCTTCAGACCAACTCACTCCTCTTCGAGCGCACTCTGCGCACCATCTTCTCCGCAGAGGACACACTCGAGCGGTCGGCACCCGCCACGGCTGACGCGGATGAGAGCAAGAATCCGCTAGAGAGGACTCGCAAGATCCTGGAGGAGACGCTGCTGCAGGCACCGAGCAGCACGGGCAACAAAGTCGTCGCCTTCATCCTTGAGGACTCGAAGCTCGACGCCTTTGCGACACCAGCAGAACGTGAAGAGTTTGTCAAGTGAGCCAAGAGAGGGAAGAGTGGGGACACAAAAACCGGACTGCACTGATGAGAGCCGTTGTGTGTGTCGCAGGGGGCTGATCGATGACATCCAGACGAAGAACAAGACGCTGGCTGGCGAGCTGCGGGAGCTCCTGGACGAGGAGGACACAGACGGCAAGACAGCCAGCATTTTGAGCAAAACGAACAGCACCACGAGCGCCAGCAACAGCACGGCAAAGGACGAGAAGCGGTAGCCGAGAAATGCGAAGAGTGTGGGTATCGTACTGGCATGTGTGTGTATGTATGGGATGCATACAATGAATGCATCGACTGATATAATGAGGCAGTCAGGCCTATAGGCCTCCCGGCCCAGAGATGAGATCCTTCCCTTCCCTCTCCCTTCCCTCTCCCTTCCCTCTCCCTTCCCTCTCCCTCCCCTCCCCTCCCCCGCTTCATGTCTGCCTCCCCCTGTGAGGGAGTGTGTGTCTCTTGACAGGCAGGGCCGGTTTTACGTGACGTACGTGAGCGTTTGTTGATGGGACACATGAGAGTATGTATGTAATCTGCGTCCATGTGTCGTGTCAAGGTCTGTGTATATTTGCTAGCCTGTTTTGGATGGGAATAAGAGTAGGAGGGAGGGAGGGGTGGTTGATGGGGTGGGTGGTGGAGAGAGAGATGGATGCGCCGGCCCCCAAAGTGGGAGCTAGGTAGAGCATAGCACACATTCGATCATTCAGGGCGCATCGACTAAATACTAGGCGTCTATCATTGTGAGGGGATGGCATATGAGTGGGTCCCATGGTGTGTCTTCGTGTGTGTACGGATGTATGTATGTGATTGAGTGGGTGTCTTGAGCTGAGCTCGTGTGGATTCCGAATGAATGGACACGACACGTTGCATATATTTTTGTGGATGGATGCTCATTCGTGTTCATAGCAACAAGAAGCCTTCCTGTCGCTTTCATAGCCATGCACACGTCTGTTGTCCCTAGGCTGCTGCGACATAGCTGCCTACATGTGTGTGTGTGCTGCCGTGGCCACATCATCACCACACGCACCAACATCTCCAAGCTCGCTAAGTGTGATCGAACTCAAAAGCTGCCCTTGCGGCGTACGAACCGAGCGGTTCGGATAGGGGACGACGGGCTGATACGCTGGAAAGTTCGGGCAAGAGCGCGTATGCCTGGTGGGCCACAGATTGCTGGGAGAGCGCTCATGCCCCTCCTCCCGAAGCTGCTCCTCCCATATGAGCCGCAGAGCATAGGCGTCGGCAAGCGGCGCTGGATGCACAATACATGTGAATCGTGGGCAAACGACACACCTTGGGTTCCTTGTCCTTGTAGCACACGAGGACGTCCGTGTAGCCATCAACGTCTTCGGGAGGAAGAGGGCCCTCTCCACTCGGGCGGGAAACCACGTGGCGGGCATGGCACGGGGCATTGGCGGTGAAAGGCAGGAGTGCAGCGAAACGTCGCCTCTGCGCCTTTCGATTTTCACGTGAAGCCCTCCCACATCAGCGAGGCCACTGCAGACAATGTAGATGCCGGACAGCCCGCACATCGGGGGCGGTGCTGGTATGGACAGGCGGAGCGGCCTGGCCGTCCATGGAGTGGAATGAACGATCAACAAAGTAACTGAAGCGATGGCAACAGCCACCACAACGACAGCAACCGCTACACCTACACCAACGCCGCACACAGCACACACACAGCACAGCACCGCAGAGCACAACACGTGAGTGAATGCTTATGTGAATGTGTGTTACCTCAGATGATACCTACTGCGTTCGATGGTCTCAATCGTGCTGTACAAAGAGGCCGGCGGCTGAAAAGTATGCGTGTGTGATGCGGTCATGTGTCGTAGGTCACCGTGTAGCACATTGAGTGGGCTCTCTCGTGGGGCCGGAAGCAGCTGGGCGGAGCTGCAGTTGTCGCGAAAACACGGGTCAGTGAAATCTGGACACACGGAACAGGGAAATCAGTGTACGGTGACAGCCACCATGAAGCCTGGCTGGTTCGCCGACTATGACGTGGAGTTCATGGACGTGGACGGGTGGCTGTACATGCCATGCCATGTGGACATTGCTTGACGCGATATGAGCAGGGAAAGGGCCCTCTCCACTCGGGCGGGGAAACCATGTGGCGGGCATTGGTCGGGGTCAAACACGTCACGGTGAAAGGCAGGAGTTTCGATTTTCACGTGAAGCCCTCCCACTTCAGCGAGGCTACCATACTTAGACGCTGCGGCTCTGCAGCCTGCTGCACCGTCCTTTGTTGTCGCTCATTGTCGTCGCTCACCAAGAGCTGCAAAGAGGAAAACCAAGCATAAGATACACCGGATGAATTGCATGATTGAGGGTTGGTCGATTGACTGCCTGTCGTTGCGCATCTACTGAAACAGGAGTGTGTACGAGCACATCTCGCTCTTCTCTCCGTCTTCTCCCGCCTTCTCTCGCTTGTTGAAACATGATGATGATGAGCCACTCACTGGCCAATCTGCACAATACTTAGAGGCAGGAGCGAAAGCTGCAAATTGTTCAGCAGCAGATTTTCATCTCGAGGTGCGAGCTGCTATTCGGCCCACTGTAACGACGCATTTTTCCGCTCTCTCCCGTCTTCGAAGGACAGCCCCTGAAACAGCTTCCGAGGAGCAGGAGCAAGTCCGACGGAGAGACTGTTCTGCGGCGCGGCGTGAGTTGTGATTCTCACCCTCTTCTCGGGGTGAAGGTGCGTTGAGGAGAGGCAGGTGGCGGCATCGTCTCAGAATGGGTACGGTGGAGGCGGTCGAGGGGCCCATGCCGCCAACCAAGGCCGCAGGTGCGGGTAGCCAGCCACCCAGTGGCCGAGGGAGACCGCGCGGCTGCACTCTGGTGGTGCGCAGTGCCACGTGGGGCAATGACAGCCACGGCCTGTTCGACTACGAGTCGAGGAACCTTCACAAGAAGACCTTCAAGGTCACCGGCACAGGTGCGTACGGGAGAGTCAGGGAGGGAGGGGAGTGGACGTGTGCACCCGCATGCATCTGCACCATGACGTGCATGCAGCTAGCTCACGGCAGGCAGGCCAACGAGAATCGGTGTCCACCTGCTGGCACGGCGCGGTGACCTGCTTGCTTCTGTTTTCCTCTGTGTGGTTGGTTTGATCAGGTCCGTGTTTATCGTTTCGTGCAGTGCGTGTCGGCACCGATGTGCAGCTGCTGTCAGAACAAGAGGTGAGCCATAGGGAGACAGACTGCTGTACACCAGCCACCGTGAATGAGAAAGAAGAGGACACTCACTCACTTTTGTGTCGCTCTTTTTTATGCAGGCGATCGAGCTGGCCCAAACAGAACGGACCAAGACCCTCATGAGAATAGCGTGGGAGGACGGTGAGCATGCCGCAGACCGATGATGGGAACCACATTTAAAGTTGCTCTTGTCTGTCTGTGTGTGTCGTTGTTTGTTTCAGGTGCGTACTCCATCAGCCAGGCCGACAAGGGCAGCGGTGGCGGGGGCAGCGACAAGCTGTGGATGGTGGTGCGGTCCCTCAAGACACAGGGCGTCAAGCTCACAGAAAACGACGTTATCAAACTCGGCAGATTCAAACTCAAGTACCGACTCGCTCACACACACACACACACACCACCCCCAAACACTGCACACCGCCTCCTCATCTCATTTCGTTTCGTCCCGTGTCATCCATCGATCAGGGTCAAGGAAGTGGTGGCCACGCCCAGTCAGGCCGACGCGGCCATCGCCCGCGCATCACACCGGCCTGACGACGACGAGATCGAGACCGTGGCACCCGCCGAGCACGAGCACGAGGAAGAGCCCAGCGGCGGCCACCCCGAGGACATGGAGGCACATAGCTCCCTCAACCCCTCCCCGATGGTGCGAGAGCCGCCACAAGAGACTTCAGACACCGAGCAGATGGACGCGGCGCCCGACAGGGACAGGGATGAGGGTCAGGTCACCCACCGGTCGGCCCACTCGTCGGCGGCCTACTCGTATCTGTCGGTGTCGCCCGTGGCTGCGACGACCTTCACGCCGATGAGCAACGCCAACACGGCTGTGACGGCCATGACCAACGTGACGGCAGTGCCGCCCACCAACCGGGCCGAGGGGGAGGACGTCACGCCCGTCTCGACGCTCGGCGGCCAGCAGACCACGGCGGGGGGCGATGACAGCAGGAAGGCCACCAATGACGAGGAGGCCGTGCAGCTCGTCAGACTGCTCGGGTGGGTGAGAAGGGGAGGGTCTGCAAACGCACCTCATCAGACGGCCGCAAAATGCAGTGCAATGCGTGTGTGTTTTTGGTGTCTGTGTTGCGTGTGTTCAGTGCGCTTCCGACGCGTCGTTCTCCGACGAATGGGCAGGCGAACATCTGCCGCATTTGTTTGTCCGAGGGCGGTGAGGCGGGGAACCCCCTGATATCGCCATGTCGATGCAAAGGCTCCATGCGATTCGTCCACCTACACTGCCTTCGGACCTGGATGGAGGGGCGACTCAACATCAGACAGGTCAGTCAGCTGACTGACATGAGACGAGAGAGACGAGATGGCCTGGATGACCAGGCAGGCAGACCAAGGCAAGGTTGGTTTGTGTTGGTGTGTGCAGCAGGACGGCACCCATGCGGGCGCAATCTTCTGGCGCACACTGGACTGCGAACTCTGCAAGACGCCATACCCAACATTTGTGGTACAATCCCACGCGCACATAAAGGGACAATGGTCGATCTGTCCGTGTGTGGGTGTGTGTGGGTGTGGGTGCGTGTGCAGGAGGCTGACCACAAGAGCATCGAGCTGTTTGCCATCCCGCGGCCCGAGTACCCCTACCTGATGCTCGAGGTCATGATGCGACACAGGAACCCTCATACCGGACACGCACAGGCCGGCAGGGGACTGCACATCATCTCACTCGCACACAGAAAAATCGCCAAGATGGTACACTACACACCCACACGAAGACGCCCACCCTCACGCGAGCAATCAAGGCATGTCTGTCTTTTGTGTGTTGTGTGTGTTGTGTGTATAGGGTCGTGGTCACGACAGCGAGGTGCGGATCAGCGACATATCGGTGTCGCGGTGTCACGCCACCCTCCGCTTCCACCGCGGCTGCTTCATACTCGAGGACCATTTTTCAAAGTTCGGCACACTCGTGGCACTCAAGAAACCATTCAGGCTCGACGTCGGCAACACCATTTCTGTCCAAGTGGGTGTGGTGGAGTGAGTGGGTCACATGTGAGTGACACGCAGGGCGCCGCATGTGTATTGCGTGTGTGCAGGTCGGTCGGACGGTGCTGACGGTCCAGGTGAAGCGGTCGTGGCGGCTGCTGCCCGGGTGCTTCAGGAGGACTCATGGCGTGGGCACAGGTGAGGAAGCCCCAGGCAGGGGACGGACGCACTGCACCAGCCAGCAAGCACTCACTGGATGGGTGGAGTGTGTGGTTTGTGTGCGTGTCGTGCAGATGTCGTGACGACGGATCAGCCGATCGGCAACTTGGCGTCGAACGATGCTGCATCGGGGCAGCGGAGGCACCTCTTTGCGCCGCCATATCGATTCAACGGGTGAGGAATGAGCCATCCCAGATACATCTCTTGCACACCGAAATACTGCCTTTCTCTTTCAGAAACGGTCGCGCGGTGCCATTCTTCAACAATCGTCGCCGGGCGCCCCAAGCAGAGGACCCCACACCAGACGACGATGACGAGCAGCAGCAGGAGCCGGCCCCCTTCCACCAGCAGCATCCCCTCCAGCTCGCCCTCCCTGCCGAACCAATCATGCCCATGCCTATCATCCACCACCCCCACCCTCCTGCTGACGCCACGCCCCCCACCACACACCACCTCGCCCACCAGAACACGGCACACGACGATCTGCACCTGGGCACCATGGCGAGGCTGCATCTGGCTGACGAGGATGAGCATGGCCATGATGACGATCAACAGCATCAGGGTGAGGGAGAGGGCGAGCATGAGAGTGGAGATGACGAGGGGGATGGCGTGGCGGCCACTCCGACTGGTTTCACGCCCATGGCTGCGACGGCTGTCATGCTGGCGATGGAGAGCATGGGCAGCAGGGGGCTGCGGGATGCTGTCAGCCAGTGACTAACGGAGGGAGGGAGGAGAGGGAGGGCAGGGAGGGTGTGGGTGTAATATAAGGGGCCGGGGTAATTGGCGGTTACTAGTTGAATGATCAATGATCTGAATTCGTGGCTTTGTATTGTTTTGTCTGTCGTCTTGTTCTGCTATGAAGTGTGGGTGGCGGTGGGGACGGCCGTGGGGGGCGGTGGGGGCTGGCTCGCTTTTGCTTCTTGCATTGTCTTGTCAGTCAGTCAATGCACAGAACAATCGGCACAACGTGCACAAATGAATCCCTGCATCGATGCGGGCAGTGGCGGTCTCCTTGTCTGTCTTTTTTTCCTCCTCTTCTTTCTACCACTCCTGCCCCCCTCCCCCCTCCCTCCTCC